AAAAAAAAATTATGGCCCTACCGGATGCCCCTTCAGGGCCAAAAAAAATCTGCTCGTATTTTTGGCTGGCGGCCCTGGGCGAGACGAAACGCCCTGGACAGCCAAAATTTTTTTTGGCTGTTGGCCAAAAGGTCTGGAATCCGGACCGGGATCTGGACACGTTCACCGGACACCGGACACCGGACGGTCCGGATCCCTGTCCGGAGGTCCGGATCGCTGCCATGGCACAGACCCAGAGTTGTCGTTTTTTCTGGGTCGTCGTTATGCATCTTATCATACTTGCAAAGTCAAATAACATCAAAAACGCCATGCAAACAAAACACGGTATTGCTTATATTCAATCAACTTTTGTTCTCACCACCAATACGTCAGATTTTGCAGTTGGCGCTCAACTTTCACATGTTTTTTATACCACGCTCCACTCTTCTTGCCCCGGAATCCCCAATTCTCCTTCCCCCCCCCTTGCCGACTGTATTTCGCGACTGACGCCTACTCTCGCATCACTTCCCTCCACTGACAGTACACCTATCTCCAACAATTAAGTTAGGCCTGATGCTGATCCCTGCTCCCACCTGGCCTTAATACTTGACCAGGTTCATACTTTCGAAGCATGACCAGAGTAGTAGTGGGACCTGCGCCACAGGCATAAGAAAGCAATTCCTCGCAAATTATGTTCATTCAAAAAATTCCTAGTACCAAGACGACTTCTCAATCAGCAAAAGTATTGGGACCACTACCCAACTTAGGTGTCTTTTTAATTTTTTTTTTCTAAAACAGATATCCACTTTATTACTCGAAAGGAAAGATGCAACTGGGGACGAAGTTCCACTAGCAAAGAGGATAGGATTAAGTACCTGAATCCAGATGGATTTTATGCATAGATGCAAAAAAACAGGTGTATGTTCATACTGTGCATTTCGCCACATACGCATCAAAATTCATGCGTCCAATCCAGGAATCCCTCAACCAACAACCCGGATTCACGATCTCTTCTTTCCTTCGATTAATAAAGTAAGTAATCCAGGAATCCCTCAACCAACAACCCGGATTCACGATCTCTTCTTTCCTTCGATTAATAAAGTAAGTACTAAGTATCTTTTTTTGACAAAATAAATAAATGAATGAATAAATAAATAAATAAATAAATAAAGGTACCAATCAGAATGATGACTGGGTGAAAAACTTCAAAAAGTGAATAATTGGAATAGAGAAATGTTGGCTGTTATGGCAAGGTACCTGCAGTATATAGATCCTCGCTCCACTACTCACCAAATGTAAAATGAAAATGAATCTTTCGCTAGAACATGGAAAGATACACTGCCATATACTTTTGTCTTTTGTGCATGTGGTGAGTAGTGGAGCGAAGCCCATAATCATTGCAGGAAACAAGCTGCACAGTTTCAACAATGACAACAACAACAACAAGGTTCCATTAGTTCCACTCCTCCATTCATGGAACCAATGGTTCCTCGACACAGTGGAACTCCAGGTTCTTCATTGCAGTGGCCTTCATGGCACCTCATCACAACTTCAACAAACAGTGGGACAAGTGGGCCTCATGGTTACCGTACATCATCACGGTTTCAACAACAACAATAACTTGAAGGAGGTGCGATGAAACTCATTGTACCTCATTCTGCTTTCAGCCACCGCCGCAGCAACAACACCGACAACGCCGACAACGCCAACAACAACAACAACAACAACCATGATGACAACAACAACAATGATGACAACAACAACAATGATGACAACAACAACAACAACAACGACGACGACAACAACAACAGGCGCAGCAACAATAAGAACAACAATAACAACAACAATAACAACAACGACGACAACGACAACACTAACAATAACAGCAACAACAACGACAACAACAACAACAACAATGACAACAAACAACGGCAACACCGACTATAACAACCAACACAACCACTACACCACCACCGCCACCACCACCTCAACCACAATAACGACACCACCAAAAGCAAAGAAGACGACAACAACAGCAGCAGCAGCAGCAGCAGCAGCAGCAGCAGCAACACAACAACGAGAATGTGAGATGAGTGTCTCTTGTCTTCAGTAGAAGTCACTGGCAGATGGATGACAGCAGATCACCACTTGCCTTGTCCTTGGGGACTCATGGAGATAGTTGGAAGAAGACGGCTGCAGAAGGACGGCCGTAAATACAGGACCAGAGCGGCACTCGCCTCACCCTTGGGCACTGGCGATAATCTACATCGCACGCCTGCGATCCTCTCTAGATGTCATTGCTGGGTGCTATCAGTGACCCTAACAGCCCCATGAACAGAGTAAGCGATAATGTACATCAAGTGCCTCTACTGCCATCCAACAGCCCCAAGAACAGACTAAGGGACAGTTGATGCCCCCCAATTGGAAACTGCCCATATCAGCGCGTACTCGCACCAGACTTTTTTGACTGCGATCTGGGCCTTGAGCTGCCATCAGATACATTCCGAAGGGCAGTAATTAGAGACCGATAGAATTAAGGGAAAAAAGCCCTACCATCTGCACCTGAATTATTGCTGCATACAAGTGGAAATTCCCTCAAATACAGCAATAAATGACCAGGCTTTCTATTTGGGTGATGACGGTAGTGTGAGCATCCTCTCAGACCCCTGCCATGACTATGTCAGCGTTTACAGGCAGTGCCGCTTAATCACATAGTCAACAGGGTAAAGTTAAGATCCAAGGGCTTGCATAAGAGAGCAGTGACTGAAGAACTGAAAAAGGGTATAGCACAAAGCAGCGCTCCAGCCTCATATTAATCTGACGGTCACGAGTTTAAACCTTGACAAAAAGTAGAAGGAAGTAAGTACGAGGCGAAGCAGGCCTGAATGCAACTCCGCAGTTGTCCCACTTCTGTACCATACCCAACGAGCTAAGGGCCAATTGTGCAATCACACTTGCTTTCTTTTCCACTTCGCAAACATGCAAACAGATGGCGATTCACACTGGCGCAGCGCGTCCACTCAAAGCTCAGAGATATGGACAACGAGAACACAGTTCAGATGCAACAATCGCTTCAATAGGTTAAGGCGCATCAGCGCCTGCACATCAACCCTCGTCACTGTGTCCAACACCACCGTTCACCCATACTCAACGCTGGATCACCCTGAATACCACACACGCACGCACTAAGTCTATCTTCTTCCTATTGCGGCTACTGCCTATGGATACGCTCTCTCCCTTCAGCCCAATTCGTCTTCGGGCAACCTGCAGACCACCTTCGCACAAGACGCTGTAGCAGCGCTTTCGCATGGCTTACGCAGCGAATGAACGAATTGCTGGGCGCTGCTTTTGATTTATACTTCCGTTTGCCCCTGGTCTGCGCCTTTCCACCAGGCCCTGGGTGTGCACAGTCCCACACGGTACTTGCTTGACCGAACTCGGTAGGACTGGGACTGGTAACGTCGACTGCATGAGGTTGCAATGCCGACTCAACGCAGTTGGACCACCGACTCACCTACCGACCTCTAGCCTAGCAGTTTCGACCTCTACACTGCTATGACCCCTACTTGACAAACCGACAGATCGAACCCCTACATCTACACAGGCCTACGACAGACAAACAAACAACTACCGAAACACAGGTCACGGGTTCAAACACTCGGGGGTCAGCTCGATACTGTACATGGGTACGGTGAGGTCTGGGGATCGAACTCTAGGGCCCGCATCTGTGACTGCAAAAAGGTGAAAACCGTTTCGATTGGGACAGACTGATCATGTCTCCCTTTCGGTGTTGACCCAAAACCACTGCTGTGCTCTGCTTCCCTTTCTCAGACTATGAGACTGAAGGTCCTGAGTTCAAACCTTTAGAAATCACCTTCTCATAGGTAAAAGGCTGGGAGTAAAACCAATAAAAAAAAAAAAAAAACTTGCACCACAACATGAGCGCACAATCCATACACACAGTGGTCAGTCAGGCAGTGCAAAAAACAGAA